TCGAACTCACGGACCGCGAGATCATGACCTGGGCCGAAGTCGGCCACTTAACCGACTGAGCCACCCAGGCGCCCCTTCATAAGCTTATTTTAAGGAAAAAGGAGTATTTTCATCCAGATGCAGCAACGGGCACCGAATTGTGGATAACACTTCACAGAAACAAGCCCAGCGTAGACACCAATCACCTGTTCCAGTCCCGCGGCACTGTGCACTCGTGACAAAATGCAGACTAGAACATTCCACCAAAATACAGTTACGGACTTGATATCCAGCCTCCTGCTAAAAATGCAGCTGAAGGGGCGCCTGGGTGGCTCAGTCGGTTAAGCGGCCGACTTTGGCTCGGGTCATGATCACATGGTTTGTGAGTTCAAGCCCTGCTCCAGGCTCTGACAGCTCGGACCTGAAGCCTGCTTTAGATTCTGTGTCTCCCTCTCTGCCCCACTTGTATTCTGTCTCTCAAAAATGAACAGATGTTAAAAAAATTTTTTTTAATAAATAAATAAAAAAGCAGCTATAATACCAACATTCCTCCTCCTTCAAAACATTCAGAAAAGAGGAAACACATGATGGGATTTTTTAGAGTGTGTCTCCATTTATTTTTTAACCATCAATTCTATAATTTGATTACATAATTCTATAAATATTATTATATATATATTGAGCAAGAGAAAATTCAGTCTATAAAAAGTAAAAACATGCTCAACAACGAAAGAACAGATAAAGACAGTAATCTGAAATAAAGGAGAGCTGGTATAAATATTAGCTTTTAGCAATCTTTACGTTAAAAAATGTCTATGGCATTTAGAAAAATAAGTTGGGAAGAGAGTGAATTACATTCTGATCATTAAGTATGTTCTTCGGTAGAATTCTAGGGCAAGCTTTTGAGAGGAAGAGGGACTAGGCTGACAGACAGGAAGGACCAGGGAGCAAGAACAGGAAGAAGATACCTTAAGTGATGAAGCACGAGTCCACCCTCCCATTTCACAGATGGGCACAATGAGGCCCAGAGTGCTGAAATGAACTGTACGCAGTAGTTAGCTGCCACTGGAACCAGGGGACAAGGCTCCGGCTCCATGCTCTCTACAGACCATTACCCTGTCCTGCCTCTATCCTCAGGACTTCTACATGGAATTTCCATAGTATAATCGCTTGAGCAGTAATTGCTGGGGCAAAGAACATTCTCCGTAAATAAAAGTACCCTTTGTATCAGTGCTACTAATCCGTAATATTAGTGGACGCCTGGGCGGCTCAGTCGGTTAAGTGTCGGCCCCTTGGTTTTGGCTCAGGTCATCATCTCACGGTTCGAGTTCGAGCCCCGCATCGGGCGGTGCACTGACAGCACGGAGCCTGCTTGGGATTCTGTCTCCCTCTCTCTCTGCCCCTCCCCCGCCTGCTCTCTCTTTCTCAAGAATAAACAAAACTAAACTTAAAACAAAAACAAACCCTTTAATATCAGTATTACCTTTTCTATTTGCTATTGCTTTCTTCTATGATACAGTCCTACTCTTTGCTAGAGCTCCATTCAATCAATTTGTTCCTAAGTTTTAAGTGAATTTTAAATACATCCATATTTGTATACATACCAGTGGCCAATTAAAATTTAGACTAAATTAAGATATAGTTCAGTTCCTAAATGGGACCAAAGCATGAAGTTTCTGCAAAAAAGATGCATTCGAGCAACTTCGTTAGAGAATATTCATGAACTCGGTGAGATACGCTTAAAAGGAAACCTGAGTCCTGGTTAAGGTCCATTCTACTCAGAAGGTCCAGGTGTCCTATATGAAGGAGTACACCTTAACGATCGTTTGGGCATCTGGGATGAATCCGTTCCACCTTGATGTGATGTCTCACCATGGGGATTTTTTTTTTTAATTTTTTTTTTTAACATTTATTTATTTTTGAGACAGAGAGAGCTAGAGCATGAACGGGGGAGGGTCAGAGAGAGAGGGAGACACAGAATCCGAAACAGGTTCCGGGCTCTGAGCTGTCAGCACACAGCCCGACACAGGGCTCGAACCCACGGACCGCGAGATCATGACCTGAGCCGAAGTCGGCCGCTCAACCAACTGAGCCACCCAGGCGCCCCAACCATGGAGATTTTTATAGTCTACTCTCCTAAATGTTTAAACTGAAAGTACCAAAGGCTTCCACAATTCAAACAACGGATATAAATAGCGCACAGAAAGGAATCACAAAGGAGAAGAACAGAGGCCCTTTCTAACCACCACACTGAAGGCCAGGTACAGTCTGTAGAAATCTCCAGTTTGCGGGACCCACAGCTCTGGATCACGGGCTGCAGTAGTATTTCTCCAGTGGCATTCGCTGTACCCACCTTTCGAAGCGCCGGGTGATTAAATACTGTGTACGTAAGCTGGCTGCTCGAAAGGGATGCGGTTAGCACCCAGCGTCTCCTCAGAGAAAAATCCCCTAAATGCAAACACTTCACGGAAAAATAAATGCGTCTCGGATATTAATGGGAGCCGTCGGAAGTTTCCTGCTGATTCCCTAAGGCTACGGTGTCTTTGCCACATATAAGTCATCTTACATAAAGTATCTGAGCCAACAGAGACACACGTGACAATAACTCCTTTCAATTTATACCATTTCCTCACTGTGGACATTGTCTGTTGTTTGGAAAGCATTTAAGTGGGAAGGGAAGTGCCTGAGAAAAAGCCTAGAATGGTACGCTTCGCACAGCACTGGAGTACTTACAAGGTAGCCTTTCGTGGTGGTGTCTCTTTGCTCCCACTGCTCTTTGGATCGACGGAGTTACCTGTCCCACGGGAGGTGCCCGGCAGGGAAGCGGTGGGAGAAAAGGTGGTTGGGGCACTACAGGCATTACGAGTGCGGAATGAATCATCTGAAAGGAATTCAAGTACAGTCAGACGTACTGAATAAGCAAAGAAAGAGGCTAACCTGGGGTTAATGACGGCTGACTTTTTTTCTTTTAAAATCAATTTTAGGGGCGCCTGGGTGGCGCAGTCGGTTAAGCGTCCGACTTCAGCCAGGTCACGATCTTGCGGTCCGTGAGTTCGAGCCCCGCGTCGGGCTCTGGGCTGATGGCTCGGAGCCCGGAGCCTGGTTCCGATTCTGTGTCTCCCTCTCTCTCTGCCCCTCCCCTGTTCATGCTCTGTCTCTCTCTGTCCCAAAAATAAATAAACGTTGAAAAAAAATAAAATAAAATAAAATAAAATCAATTTTATCAAGATACAGTTTACGGGCAATAAACCACGCAGATCAAGGTCTGACATCCGTACACAGCCATGAAGGCATCGCCACCATCAAGAGGGAACCCTGTTGATCCCTACCTCCCGCACTCTGGTCGCCCCGCCTCACACCGCAGGCAATCGGCCTCCTGTCACTAAAGGTTAGTTTGCATTTTCTAGAATTTTACGTAAATAGAATCATACAGTATTTCTGTCTTCTTTCACTCGGCACAATTCGTTTGAGATTCATCCTGGTTTTTGCGTGTATCAAGACTTCATTCCTTTTTATCGGTGACAGATACGCCATTGTATGGATATATCAAAATTTGCTTATACATTCTCCTGCTGATAGACATTTGGATTTTTTCCAGTTTTGACTATTACAAAGAAAGCTGCTATGAACAAGTGTGTACAAGTCTGTGTATGGATATACGTTTTGATTTCTTGCCAAGTAAAAGACTAGGACTGGAACTGCTGGGTCACATACCAAGTGCATATTTAACTGCATACGAAACCGCCAACTAGTTGCCCAAAGTGGTTGTACCAGTCTGCATTTCCACCAGCAACGAATAAGCGTTCTGGAGAGCTGCTTTACATCCTCACACACACTTGATATTGTGAGTCTTTCTAATTTTAGACATTTTACTGTCTGTGCAGTGGTTATCTCCTTGTATTTCTCACCCCTCATTGCTTTTTTTAAAAAAATTCAGAACTTTAAAGTTCTTTTTTTTTTTTTTTAACACTTTTTATTTATTTTTGAGAGACAGAGACAGAGCACGAGCAGGGGAGGGGCAGAGAGAGAGGGAGACACAGAATCTGAAGCAGGCTCTGAGCTGTCAGCACAGAGCCCGACGCAGGGCTTGAACCCACAAACCGTGAGATCATGACCTGAGCCGAAGTTGGACGCCTAACCGACTGAGCCACCCAGGTGCCCCTACAATTCAGAACTTTAAAAACATTTTTTTTAAATCAGTATTTTCTTGCTTTAATGTATTTGTCTGGGTCCTCGGTCTACAAAATTTTTAAAAAATGAATAAACAGTAACATATCATCTGGCGTCAAGAAATGATTTATAGCATTAGCAATAACACGTTAATTTTTTCGTTACAAGAACCTATAGGCATTTTTAAAAGTGGAGAACACAAAAACAGTATGAAAATAAAACTTATCTATAATACCATAATTCTAGCAACTGAAGCAATAGTCTTTAACCGTCCTAATATAATTTGCTTCAGTCTCTTTTCCCTTAGCAGGCTACGTACGTGCACGCCTATGCGTATAACTTACGCAAATAAGGACCTCCTGTGCTTCCTATTTGATACCATACTTTGTGATTTCGTAAATCTTTAACTATTTTTCTATGTAATCAAGTGGGGGTTTTTTTCTTAAACATTTTAAGGAATGCACAGAATTCTATCCGTAAAACTTTTTTTTTTTTTTATG